CCCCAAAACCCCAAAACCCCAAAACCCCAAAACCCCAAGAACCAAGGATTTTATTGAAATATACTTATTTAAAAATCTTATTTCATCAATAAAGACTGCTAAGGAAGCTAGAGCTGATGTCTATCGGCTTCTTATCTTTTATCCTTGACTTACTATAAGAAGGGTTAGAGACATAAAGGCTTTCAAAAAGGCGTCAGAGGCTTACCTTCGGTATCGAGACTTTTTAATAGACCCTGCATCTATTTCGCTGATTCGTCAGTCAACAGACTTATTAGCATCAAATCTCCTTTTGGATCGGTCCGAGGGTTTAGGGTTATTAACGCTTTTGGGCATATATTGCTTTTTGGATGGCTTCAAGCATGGAATTCATGAGTATCCATCATGGCCATACTCAGTGCCATTGTCAATATACACAGAATTGTTGAGGATTGAGGAAGAGAGCCGCTCCGACTCCCTCATTTTCTGTGAAGCAATAGCTGACAACCTCTGGCTAAAATAATTAGAGGATTTTTTTTTAGCTTTAGCCTTTTTCATAAACTTCTCAGACTCTTGGATAGAATTGAGGCCGACACTATAGTCCTGGCTCGGCACGTAATCTTGAGAATCATTGATTTGGACATCATCTTCATCACAGAACATCTTTACAGAGACTGTGAGGTTGATCCAGACATTTTTGTGGTCCATCTCTTTGAACAGGTGCATTTTCTTGTCGTAGGTTCGATCAGAGAGCTTGCAGACGGACGATTCTGAGCTGTTGAGCAACCCGTTGATCGAGTAATATCATTTCACAAACCCAATGTTCTTTATTAGAAGAGATTTAGCCTTTTTGCAAGAAGGGCAACACACTATATTGATCTCATCTGAGAAGCTGAAGGTGCCATACCCTCTTGAACAAACAACCATTTGTTTGTAGAGGTAACAGTCCAGATTTTTACAGTATGCGATCCAGTTGAGGCCATTCTGGGCCTCACAGTACCAAGGAGCAGAACTTTTGAAGCTATTCTTCCTCACAGAGTTGATTTTGTAAAAATTAGGGTCAAGAGCGAGGGAAATTTTCTTTGTCCCCTTACCTTTGGCCTTTTCAATGGCCTTAATCCGGTAAGCTTCCTCCCTTTCTTCGTAGATTCCGTGCTCTACGAGGGATTTGGATCGACAAAGCTGCTTGTTTAGGAAATAAAGCACCAAATTATTTCTCCTTGAGCCCAAACTTTTTCTCGATTATTTTGCATAAATTGTAGACGGAAGATGACCCATAAGTGCTGATCCTCAGAGAAGAGCAGGTAGGAGTCTTGTGCTTGGAGTTCTCTAAGCCGTCTAATTTTACTGAGAAGACAGACACCAATAACTTAACCGTAGCTGTTGCTATCTTAAGCCTGAACGGTTGGAGCATTTCTTTTCACTTATTGAATGGTGTAGTGTCCGTGACTTGAATCCCAGAGCCGTTATATATTAACTGGGAGTCAACTGGTATGCTGAAATTTAGGAAAACTCGTTCTTTAATGTCCCATATGAGAGGAAAGTTATCATCTGGGTTGATAAATTCAATTTTTAATTTCTTGAGCTGGGTCTCATTACTGCCAGTCCTACATATATTGACGAAGCACTTACCTCAATGTTGTGGAGTATCTCACTCAGCTAGTTTGGGGCCCACTAGATCAACCCTGGTTATAGTCCTTTATGTAGCTGTAAGGAATCTCTATTTCGAGTGTGGCCTTTAAATCCTCTTTTTCCATTAAGATAAATATTATATTCAACAATAGGGGTATATTATGGGGTTTTGGGGTTTTGGGGTTTTGGGG